ATAAGGGTGGTGTGTGCTTCCTAGTTCCAGTTATCTTTCAGTTTCAGTCTTATGACTCAAAGAAGAGAAAGAAGAGGCTAGATATAACTGCACATGTGGCCAATCTCAAAGAACTCCAGCTACTGTGAAGTAACTTTGTTCTCTCTCCTGAGTAAATGTCCACTTACATGTTTATGCTACAGGTGACTCCAAAATATTGGCCACCTATACCTGGAGGTGGGCCCCAGAGTCCCTTAGGTCATGGCTGTCCAATATCTGGAAAGTGGGAGACTGCATACTCCATGGGCCACAGGCTCCTAGGATGCATGCAGCAGGGGCTGCATGTGCGGTGGGCCCTCCTCAGTACCCCTGACAGTCTGTCCCCTTTCTCACCAGCTCCTCTGCCAGCGGCACACAGAGCACAGGTGGCCTGGCTTCCCTCTCCGTGGCAGTGCATGGGGCACAGACATTACAGAGCCCTCCCTTGGCCCCCTCCCATTGCAATGCCCCAGTCCCAGGACTAAAAGGAGGAATCAGAAGCTGGAAGAGAGTAGCAAAGCCTGGAGAACTTGATGCCATAGCAGCAGAAGCGATGACAGCAATGGCTGGCTGAGAGCCTGTTGGCCATGTATCAGCCCCTTTCAGGCCACATATGACACCAATGGCTACCAGTTGGACAGCCCTGCCCTAGGTGAACAACTAAAGGACTGCCCAACTAAATGTTCTGTCCTTGCAAAGTGTTTAGTAAAGGTGTTTATGAACTCCAGGTGCCTTGCCTTGCAGATTTCACCTATAGGTTAAGTACAGACATTCAAAAAGCCCGAGCTTGAATTGATTCAATCTTTGCAGGTTAGTCTAAACTGCATAGACTGAACCAGGAAGCAAGTGAAAAGACATTGATTTTTTATTCTAGAAATGCAGCCACATGCCTGCAGTGGCTCAGCCTAGAAGATACAGCAAACCCTCCCTTCCCCCTTCAGCAGTGGCTGGAAAGCTGGAGGGAAGCTGGAAGAGAAGCCATGTAGGCTCTTCCCTGCTCTCTGCTCGAGCAGAGGGGACAGGGGCAGGGGCATGGTCAGACACCAGCCCCAGGCTGGCCTGCTGTGGCAGAGGGGAGGAAGAGGGGAGGGAGGGGGTTTAAACTGGCCACTGGAGTGGGGGTTTAAACTTCCTGCAAGGTTTAACTCCCCTCCCTCCCCTCCTACCTGAGCATGCTCGTCCAGGGTCAGTATCTGTCCATGCCCTTGCCCCCTCCACTCAGGTGGGAGCAGTGGAAAAGCCTGGCAGGGGCTGCTGTGCCATTGGCTAGGTAGACCCCTGCTGGGGACCTATGCCAGTGGGAGAGGGGCTTTAAACCCCTCTCCCTCCCTCTCCTCTGCCTCTGTGTGCTGGTCTGGGGCTGGGTGTGGCCATGCCCCTGCCTCCTCTACTCAAGCAGTGAGTGGCAGGAAAAGCCTGTGAGTGGCTGCTCTGCCCCCAACCATGCAGACCTAGCTGTGATCCTGAGCAGGATTTCGCACCTCCACTCCCACCCCCTTCTCAGCCAGCAGGACCTGGCTGAGATAGTGGTAGGGAGCACAGGGGTGCGGCTAACCCTGCTCCACTGAAGCAGACAGCTCAGCCCAGCCCAGGGCTGCAAAGCATCCTGGGATGCAGGGGGACTATTAATTAACTTCCACCAGGAAGGGGTCTGGGACAGAAGTTCTATAAACTGATTTGACCTGAACCTATTAAGTCTGATACTACTTTCAACCACGTTTATCTTAAGCCAGTTTTGGCCATTTTGAAAGCGGTTTATGTGCACAGAACTTCTGTTCTGCTATACGTTTAAACCAGTTTCTGTCCACTTAAACTGGTTTGTGTGTGACTTCTGTCCTTAGCCATGCAGATAAATCTGTAGAAGTGGTATGGGCTCTACTAGGATGACCAAAACCTAGAGAGAGGGCTCTATGTTAGCAGTCTCATAGTTTAACTTCATGGAGGCCTTCAAATGGACAATCTCTGGGATGATATTAAACTGCCTTTAGAGACTTTTGGTCCTGTTTAGGTAATAGGTCAAATTTCTCTTGGTGTCAAAGTAGTATAGAGAGAGCTCAGTTCTAGAGGTGTAGGGAAGAACACTGGTGAATTGATGTGTTGGCTCAGGTGGGATTCAGATACCAGTTGAGGCAGAAACTTCAGGAAGGTCTCTCAAGGTCACTTTATCTGGATAGAAGGTAACATAGAGGAGGGATCCACCATAAAGGCTTAGATCTTGCCCACTTTTCTGGCCAAGGCAATCATCATCAGCAATGTCCTCTTCATGGACAGAACGAGTAATGAACAAGTTGTCACTGGCAACTTTGGCCATTGGCAAATGACCATCCCACCACAGACGCAAAGACCAGGTTCCTGTACCATTGTGGGAAAGAGTTATTTGTGAGGAAACAAGTTAGCCAACTTCTAGAAGAATCTGAGAGCAACGGGGTGAGAACACATAAGTCAACCCTCAGTCAGTGAGCGATAAGCTAGCAAGTGAATTTTAACTGAGTTCCTTGACAGATTAGCACAAAGGTGCTCCAGTATGTCAGAAATGGAAGAATGGTCAGGAGAAATGGTCTTTGACCAATATCAACCAGAGAATATAGTCCATTTCATCAGGTAGGTACATCTAGATAGAGTCCTTCCTGAATGGCCCTGACAAGCAAAATTTTATTCCTCTGCTATTGAGACCCATTCAGAATCTGCGCTATTAAACAAAGGAGGTTCAAGTGAAACACTTCCATCTGTCTAGCATCACCAGGTCCAGAACCAAAAGTAATACCCCTGGAGACCTTCATCAACAGCAGCAGGAGGACCTGATACCAAAAATATGCCCAAGCAGAATCAGAGGCAGGAAGATGTACAGGAGACCACAGATGCCCAGAAACATATCTGGCATGAAGCCAAAGCTGAGAACTTCTCTGGCAAAAAAGATCTGAAAATTACTGCAGACTTCAGTAGTAAATACATCTCTCTCAGAGTAACTGCAATCAGCAAAGATCACCTGAAGGATGAAACTTTTGATGTCTCGTTCTTAGTGAATGGAAAAGACTCTGCTGAGGTGATCTGTCACAGAGTTCTGGAGGACTGGTAAGTGAACTACTACCAAGGGTGAATTGTTTCCCCACACAGGGAGGAAAATCTTGTGTTGCCTTGTCTGTTGATGTAAAGCATGGCCATGGAAAAAATGAAGAAAATCCTTGCAAGCCCTTTGTACCACCCTGACCTCCAACGTACCCATATGGAGCTTTCAGTCATCTGGCATCCAGATACACTGCCCTTGGAGGTTGTCTGTAAGTGCTCCTCAACCTAGTAAAGACATCTATGATGATAGTTACAGAAGAAGAAGCAGGGTGGAAAGTTACTACACCCCTTGCCCACATTGCTCATTGCTCCTTCCCACCATAATGAAGGGAACTGTCACAGTCATGCTAAGAGGGAGTGCCTCCTCGCCTTCTATAGTCCTGAGGTGATATCTGTCATGCAGTGTCACAAAGGCCAAGAACAGAATGGTGATGATATTTGACTGACAGAAAAAATTATTTCAGAAGCTGGAAATGTCCCTGCCGGAGGTAAGCCTTTGCCTTTATAGTGTCTTGGAAGATCTGATGAATTTAAACCTTTGGGCTGAGGTTAACTTCTGTAAGTTGAACCTTAGACCCAAGGAACAAAAGAGCCTGAAGGTTAAGAAGAGGTCTTTGAGAGAAGAATGCTCCTAAACAGCAGAGCCACATGGCTTAGCTGGAATAAAAATCAAGATCAAGGTGGGGGAAGTGGGCAAAGGTGTCAAAACCTAGCTTTAATGCCTTTCCTATGCACTCCCAAAACAAAATAAAGGCATGGAAGGGATGTGGAGCAAAGTCAAATAACAAAGAAATAATAAATAATAGGGCTGTGCACAGCTTTGGTCCCTGATTGGATTCGGTGGAGATTTGGCCCAATTCGGTGGCCAAATCTCCAATCAGAGGGCCCTTTAATCTCTCTGAATCAAATTGGAACCCTCCAGATCAAGTCAGAAAGATTCGGCAATCCAGACATAGACACAGCTTTAAATGTTTTTTCTATATACCTCTAGGTAGCAGGTGGTTTGTGAATGCTGCGATGCTAGGGCACATGGAGCATCCCACAGTAGCGCAGGGGGGCTCCCCAGTGCACTCGGCAGCAGACCCGGAAGTGGACCAGAAGCACTGAAGGGGGAGGGGCTGCGCTCCTGTGAAATGCTCCATCCACTCCACCATTGCAGCATTCACAAGCCACACTGATGCCTTGAGGTATGTAGAAAAACATTCAAAGCTGTGTCTGGCCAAATCACTGATCCTCTGAATCAGCACTGAATCTTCAGATTTGGATTTAGTCGAACTGAATCAGGGACAGTGATCCAAATGAATGAATTGAATCACTGTCCCTGATTCAGGCCGAATCTTAATCGAATAGGGCCCATTTTGCATACTCCTAAAAAATAAAAGCAAGACACCAAAAAGCTAAGGATTTGAACAGAAAGTCACCCGCCATGCCACAAGAATGCATTGCAAGTAACATATAGGCACCTGAGAGGAACTGAAGAGCAGATGTGGGCAGTGTCCTTTATCCCCTCAAGATGGGAGGGCTGTGAAGTGGGAAGAGTGCACACTACAGATACTGTGCTAAGGCAAAAGAGTCCATTTAAAGATTTAGAGTGGGAAATGCACATTGTGAAAATGGATATTTGGACAATTACTCAGAGAAGTTGAGGTTTGACTGTTTTGCCCTCCCTGGTCCCTGTTAAACAAGTCAGTCAGAAAAAAATATCAAACATCCACAATAATAACTGCAATGAATAGCTAGGATAATTTCTGACTGCCTTTGAAAAATCCTAGAGTAAGTCATGTCAATGTGGATATTCAAGGGAGATGAGATCTCACACTTCCCAGAGAAACACCAACCTTCTGGGAAACGTGGCATTACCCCATACACGGTACTACACCTCTGTACTAGAGAAGGTAGATTATAGTGTAGTTTACCTGGGTACCAACTCTGAAAGCAGCTTCTACTTGAGCTTTAAGGATGTTACATTTCACATGATCAGATACAGAGGAAGGTGACACTGGGGGATGAAGACTCTTTTCAGAAACTTTCTTGTCTTCACTCTGTGATAAATATAAAAGACAACACAGAGATACATATTAGAGAATAAGTCAACAAAACAATTAGGACAAATTTTACTTGGTAAAATATCTGATGAGCAAAAACATTCAAAGATGAAACAACTTGATTTTACTACCAAGATAATAAAGGCCTGAAGGAAAATGTGACATTGCTGGGTATCCAAAGACTGATATACAGCATTAAAAATACGGGGAAATACCCAGGCCTTAAGGTATCCTTTCAAATCTGAAATTAAGTTGAAAAATAGAACAAGAAATCTGTATTCCCTGCCTGAGCATAGGCAAATATGCTTGTAGGTGAAAGGGACACAGTGTTCAATATTCAGGGTGTGGATACACAAAGGCTTGAAGCCCTTTCAAAAGGGGAACATTTTAAAAGGGCAGCAGCTGGTATATTCTAATTGTTATGTGCAAATGAGTAGAAAAAGATTCAAATGCAGCAAACCTGCTCCAGCTTTAACCCTGGATGAAGGAATATTAAATTGGAGCTGTTTGTTGTACTTGGATAGAATCATAGAAAAAACATATCAGCTTATTCACGCATAACAATTTGGGTACAGACAGAACACTTGAACCATTCCAAGAATGTCACTGATTGGGAACTATTCCACAATTATCCTTGGACAGAAGTGTCCACACATACACTGCTAAGTGTCCTAAGTAGAACCCTTACCTTTTAGGGATTACATTGCTACCAAAATGCCACCAGTACCCAGACCATCATGCCTTTCAGGGATCAGTGCACAGAGTTTCACCCAGTGTCCTTTAGAGGGGGAAGAAGGTTTGGATTGGGAATAGGGGGTGGAGTCGAGGGGTTGCCTGGTGCTGGGGGCTTTGTTTGAGTTAGATATAGAAGCTACAATTCTGTCTGCATCTTTGGGGTTTAAAATCTATTTAGAATGGTCTAAGTTTTACGTCTGTCCTTTGAGCATACTAGTTGCCCATACTAGTGAAATGTTCCCATTTTGTAAGGGGTCCAAGCATTCATAGGTCCACATGTTAAATTAACACTCCCCTATACCATTTTAACCCTGCAAAGGGCTGTGAAGTAAATGAAACATAAATTAAAGCAACAATCAAGAACCTTCATATTATCCAAATAGTATAAACTGAAATCCCTTTAACTGAGAATCAGGCCCATCGTCTTTGCTTACAGATCTCTTTGGATTCTTTTCTGTCAGAGAGATCAGAACAATCTAAGATGCTTATCTGACTCTTCTTTCCATTCACCCTGATCCACCCTGTAATGTGTCATTTTACAAAGACAGACAATTTTTCAGCCCTCAATCTGAGAAATCTAGAGCAGGACACCCAGCATAGGCTCTCTTTGCAGATTATGGTAATTTGGTATCCCATTTAAGAGAAGCCTAATTTTTTGGCCAGAGTGCCAAAAAACCTACAACGTCTACCTTGGAAGGTGCCAGAGTGCAGACATGCTGGAGCCCGAAGCAGCTGTTCGCAGCCTCCTGTCTGCAGCCAGCCCACAGAGCCCAGTCTCCTTGCAGCAGGGCTTGCAGCCTCCCAGCTGCCTGCTGGGAGCAGCCTGGGCTCCATGGCTGACGGCAGCTGCTTGGAGCCCGGGCTGGTGGTGTGCCAAGCTAAATGGCCTTGCGTGCCATGCTCGGCACGTGTGCCAGGGGTTGCTGACCCCTACATTAGACGAATAACAAGAGCCAGCAGAAGCAAAGGAACCAACCTGGAATTACTTGCATATATAACAAGGAGCAAGTCTCTCTCCAGGCTAATACAGGTATAGTTAAAGCAATCAGACTGGGTAGGTGTGACTGGGGCAGACTCAGTGGAATAGGGAGGTGCAGTCACACCCACCTTTTAATTCCTGCTCCACCCAAACGTTAAAACCATCTACCTGACAGGAGCAGGAAGGAGTTGATTGATTTCTTGACTCATTAAAGTCTACCTGCTTCCTGCTAATTTGTCTTCACTTCACAGATGTTAATGACCCTTTCTCCTTTCACTACTCAGACTATTTTTTCTTTTGCAATTTTGCTGTCTGTTAGCTATTCCTGGTAATGTGCCTCTTCTATTTCCCAGCCTGGCAGGCTGTTTTTTAGCTCTAGCTAAAGACCTTAACTCAGATGTATAAGTGACTGATACTGAAGTATTGGAGGCACTGTCAAAACACACATGAAGACTCCGTTTTGTTCTATGAATCCGAATAAGAGACATACATTTCATTATTATGACTACAGGACTAATGAAACAATATCCTTTGATTCCTTTTTTTTTGGCCTAGTTTGTGTTTTTAGACTTTACATATAATCTAGAAAAGTAGTGCACATTCCAATAAAGTTATATTTGTTTTTGCTTTAATCTTAAACTGAATAATACAGTGCTAGCCCCTACCATATTAGTAAATCTTTAACTGGAGAAAAATGTGTTGTGTTACATGTGATGATGCACCACTCCATCTGCGGCCTTCTTTTCAAAATCCTAAGTCCACCCATGGGTGTGACAGGCTTTACACTAGCACATCATAACATTTTATACATTGTAAAGAAAATCTGGAGCAGTGGTACAGCTACTCCTCGCTTAACGTTACAGTTACGTTCTTGCAAAATGCGACTTTAAGCAATGGGATGTTAAACGAATCCAGTTATATCACAATAGTTCCTTACTAGCAGGCGGCAGCCAAATGTTATAACCAAACGTTGCATGACTTTAAATGAGTATGTTCTCTAATAGATCAGTGACGTAATAACAAAACACTACTAACCAGCACGACGTTAAGTGAGGAGTACCTGTATTAGAAAGGTTAATTCTATGCTCCCATCATCTCACTGGAATTTAGGTGTGAACAATAGTCTGAGTACATCGTTGACACCTGTGGGAAATGAATGTCAAATGCTGCTGTTCTAACTGGATGGTATTTCATGTCTGTTCTGCACCACTTCAGCCCAGGTGTAAAGAATGATAAGATAGAAGGCACTAGAAAAAAATCAGGTCTAAAATAGCACTCTAGGTCACCTCTGACAACTCAATCCTGAGATTTCAAAGGTGAATTTAGAGACTTTGCCTTTACCTCTTTTAACCACAGAAGCCATCTCACTTATTTTTCCTTGTGCCATGACTGTGGCATTTCACTGTCTAATGGCCACCAAAATCTTGTTTGTTCATGTCACTGATTTCAAAAGGTTTCATACAATATGGTATGCCAAAATCCTGGAGACATTTTCTGCAAGTAGAAAAAACCAGCAATGCAGTTATTTTGCCTTCTGCAGGCAGTCTGTGAACACCCTGAAAGACACTGAGACTTGGCAGAACTCTACTGAGACTGCATAATATTTTCTTTGTGTAAGCAAAGTTATTCTTTGTAGCCTTCAGGATCCAACTGCTGTAGCTTCCAGGTATACCTTTGAACAACTGTCTATTATAGTATTATTCAGCACTTCCTTCTTTTATTTGGTACTTGTGTTACTCAGTCTTACAAAACTATTTGTTGACCCACATCTAATATTGTTAATCTTGGTTTTATTGGACATTGAACTTAATCCTTTCGATTTTCAACCTAAAGAAAAAATACTTGAAATCAAACAAACAACAAACCCCCAAAATACTGCTTACGGCTGGAACAACATACAAAACTGTAGATACATGTTCAACCTCAGAAACAACCAGAAATTTAACAAACATCTAAAAATCAAACTGAAGTTCTCCTTCAGTATAAATGATTTTCTTGGATCCTCAATGATACCAGCAAGTGGAGATACTACATAGATCATTCAGAAAGACAAAGTTAATCACAAGGAAAGCACAATCAGCTGATTCACCAATTGACTCATTAACCAGATTTGCACTACTTGAACTTGTTTTAAAATGCTGCTACTAGCAGCAAGTCTTCTTTTAGGCATATTGATTTCTAAAGATAGTACAAGCCATCCACTTACAATGACATTTCTAAAAGCAATATTAGAAACAATCCATGTTTCATACCTAGAAACTAAATAAATGTGTTCATTTTAGTTGTGTTAAATTTATTCAAAAATAAAGACAAATGATACTTAAGGATGAAGCTATCTTTTGTGCCTTCGAAACATCACAGACTTCTGCAACTTGGCATCTATTAGCTGTATCTGGGGTCTCCAACGAAATTTTCACAGAGGGCAGGGTCATCCCCTATTTTTCCTCCTCTACACAGTCTACCCACACCATGGGTCAAAGTAAGAGCAAGGTGACAGCTTTAAGGAGCTTCAAATCCACCTCTTGCACAGATGAACAGAGACTCTCCCTACTTCACTCCACCCCACCAGTTAGTTGATCTGGTTCACACAAGAAGGAGTTATCTGTTTCAGCCATGGTGGCATGTTCCTTTAAGCTTGCCCATAGTAAATACATTGCACTCTACTTTTCTCAGGTCATCCTATGCCACTACAACCTAACCTAGGGGTTTCAAAATCATACTGCCCAGAGGTGCAGGGCTGGTTTATGGGCTGGATTGAGCCCACAGATCTAATGTGCAGGGCCAGACTGGTTGCAGGTGTGCAGCACGTGCCCCAGACCAGCCCTGTATGCAACACTGCAGTACATGACCCAGACCAGCCATATGCACAGGACGTGCCAGGCCAGCTTTACACACCTAATGCAGCATGCAGGGCCAGCACCAACGCATGCTGCATGTGGCGCCAGTCCAAGACCTACAGGCAGCACCATGGGTTGGATCACAGGCCAGATCTTTGATGCCCCGATCTAACTGATACTTACTGTCACCTAAAACACGTTGAAAGTTAGAAATTTCCTGCCAGTCTGGAGAAGCAATGACAGATTTTTCTGCTGTTATTTAGGCTATCAATTTCTGTACACAGAAGCTGTTTAGTCCAAACCATTATACAAGTTATTTTATTGAGGCCTTGGTTTGTTCTCCCCTCATGCTGAAACAAGTTGCCCTGTAACTTGTATATCATCTTACTATTTTAGATTACTAATGCTTTTCGGTATCTGTTTCTGTTCATATAATTCTTTGAAGA